GGTGCTTAAAATTTTAGCATCAGTATTAATTTTGTCTGCATCACCCACCCTAAATAGGGATCTATAAATATCACACATTTATTTAGGGATAGTATATGCATAGCTAAGTGTTGACATTAAATAGAAGAAACCACACAAGAAAACCAGTTTTGGCAAAATATATAAGGTTTATGAGTTACCATGGGACTAAGACTTACAAAGTTTTTGCAAACATCACATCTTGGATGATAGCGCTCCGCATAGCAGGATTCATGATAGGGGTGATTATCAAACACTGAAAACTATCACATAGAATAAACCTAAAGTTAGCCTTATACTACATTGAATACTCAATACCAAATACCCATAAATTGACTAGCATTAAAGGAATCAGCATGAGTGAAGCACTATTGTAGATAAATAGTTTCAAACTAAACTGGCTGAGATTTTGACCTTATAATCACTAATTGGCTGATTGCAAGCATGGCAACGGAAGCATTCAGGATGCCAAACAGCATTCATGCAACTCAAGTATCGTCCATGGCCAATCTCAGTGTTGCAACCTGCACAAATCCTGCAAGCAGAAGCTTTTAGAAACCACGTCAAGTTTCATGTTACAGCCATGAAAGTCATGCAAAGTCTCATTGTGAATGTTTACATTAGAAAACATCAAAGTATTATCCTACTGCACATGTTCTATAGAGATACAATCTCAAAATCTTTAATTCTGAACTCAAGAGTTCAAATCAATTAGAACTTATATTCATTCAGAGGTTCAATTGCTGACATAGAGACCTAATATGACTCAATTACCTATAAACGGATGGAAAATGGAAAGGATAAGGCTGAAAGATGCTTCCATGATCATTTCGAGGAGGAGAGTCAACATTCAAGCTTTCTTGAAGAGCCATAGCAAGTTGTTCATCTTCCTCTGATTGAAGTTTAGCATGCCCTTCATCTCCTCCCTCTTGAATTTTAGCAGATGGCTCATCCTCATCAACATGACACAAAGTATCATCTTCTTCATCCTCCTCTGGCTCAGGTTCAGATTCATATTCTATCAAGTTAAAGGGGGAAGTGAGACTCATTATGGACATAACTTTCAATAAATCCCCTAACAGTTTTGAAAGTTACACCCAAATTTTGATAGAGAAACTGATTGGAAAATCACTGGTGAGTGCCCACCCCAACATTTGTACTCATTCTTGCCTTTAACTACTTGCACAAACTGTTAAGTCTCAGTGACTCAATGCTTATCACATGAAACCTTACCAATTACTTTTTTTCCTTTTCGATCTGCTTCTGCAAGAGAAAGTGCAATGGCACAATCAAGTTCTTCTTTGTCAAAACCTCCAGAGTCCTGCACCCAAGTTTTTCAACATAGACTAATAGAATTAATACAGCAAAAATTTAATAAAAATTTCCCGGGATATAATATGCATGACCAATGGATTGGAAAAGCAAGTGATTACTTGCATAAACAAAGTTTTAATATGTATTGTTTTATTATACTATAGAAGCAGAACTAAGAAAAAGAGTAAAAGACCATGAGTAGGAGCAAAAAAAGAGAAAACAGAAAGAGCAAAGGGATTACTGTTGAATTACGAGCCTCCTCTGAAGTTCTGTTATCTCTATAACCCCCATCATAGTGTCCTTTATGGCGAGAACCCTTAAAAATCTTGGTTAGCCAACCCATACAGTGAAATGATATATGCTTGCAATCACAGATGAACCGGCAACCTCCTGCACCCATTTTATTTGTTTATGAAATAGAAACATATTCGAGCGGATTGAGTGAAAAGAAAATGTCATTACCACCCAAAGAGAAAGGCAAGCAGAACTGCAAGTGACTAATACCATCCCATATAGTATTACCATACAAACTAAATTCAAAATTTAAAAGACATATATTGTCACCTTGATTCTGTCCCAAAAATCTATACGAGCCATAAATAAAGAAAAACTACTTAAACACCAGAGATAGCCAACTAGCCATATCAAATATATCATCAAACCTATGAGAAATCATAATTTTTTTTTTCTTTGAATGGCAATCATAATTAAAGTTTTCTGACAACTCAGACAAGGCCAGCCAGATGCATTAACAAACTTTCTGTATTTCAATTTGTTCCATGTGCGCATATGTCATTTCAATCCAATCCAAAACAAAGAAACAAACTTCTCCACAACAAACAGAAGAAGACCAAAGAAAGTAAAGAAAGAAAATCCTAAAACAACCAACCATATACAAATATGACGAAACATGATTCCAAATCCTCAGAAAGGAAATCTATATGACTTGCAGTAGCCTGAAACAGCACATGGGTGTTCCTGTTAATTCAGAAACACCCACAAGTACCACTACCAACTTCAGATTGAGAAATAGAAATCCAGCAGAGTAGTAATTGAAATTTGAAATATTGATATTTACTACCACTGAATTCAACAAGAGAATCTAAAGCATCAGAGACTTACCTGAAAAAATGATTCAATAGAATCTAAGGAATCCCAGATCAGCTACAGTACTCAATTCTCATGAATTCAGGAAATCAAGAGATATTCCCAGCTGGCCTTATAGGCCCCTTGGTTTGTAGGTGCACTGCCCAGCTCCATGAGCTGGGTTCAACCCCTTTCCCTTCCCCTTCCCCCAAAAATTGCACTTGTTCAAAGAAAGAGATGTTCCCAGCTGTACCCTTAACTGCTATGGACCCTGAAAATCACTGAGCCTTTTAAGATGACCCAAAAGTCAGGCAAACATTTTCACCGAAAGGAGATAGGAAAAAAAAGAAAGGAACGTCAATCTTACGCAAAATCCAGGCTTTAAATTTACCTCCAAAAAATCAGGACTTTTAAAGAGAGAAGCTGATACAAAGTGGCAATCTTTGGAATTTGATATCCTTAAAACCCAATGAAATAACTGATTTTTGAAGATAAAGGAATCAAACCCAGATGTGGTTTGTTGAACGTCTTGTAAAGTTTTGCGCTTTGGCATGTGGGTCCTTTTGGGTGCCCATTTTTCATCACACTCCATCACTAAACGTCAAATCCCTATTGAGCTTTTTTCTGGTTGAAGGGGTGACGAAGGAGAGACGGAAGGTAGAATTTCAATTTCTGGATCCTCCTTTCGTGCACCTGTTGTCTCTCACTGTGGTTTATTTGTTGTCATGGGTGGGGCACTCATGCAGGAAGTTCCCCCCAGTTCCATTTCTCCCCACAAGAGCCAGAATGTCATCTCAACACGTGGCACTGAAATTGTGACAAACATAAATTTGCCCGACGGCACCATTATTATATTTTTTTAAATAGTAGTAAAATAATTTAAAAACAGAACACCATTATTATATTTTGACGATGAATATGAGTTTTTCTAAAATGGGCAAATTTGTGGTACATCTGAGATCAGAATGGAGATTGGAGGGAGTCTTCCTGCTAATGGGTGTATCGACTTTCAGTGCAATCAAAACTAAAGAGCAACGACAGCATGGTCGACGTTTAATAATTTCAAAAGTTTAATTTCAGGTTTAAGATTAACAGTTTAAATTTTTATGTTGTTAAGTGATTAAAATTTAATGTATTAAAAAAATATAAAAACTAATGTTTTTAGAAATTTAATGATGCCTTGATATGAAATTTGTGACATTGTGGCGTGACAAAATAATCTTTGATACTGTATTTTTTGTGTGGAACTTTAGAGCTTCATGAGTCAGTTGTTAAATTTGATTTTTATCAATTAAGATATCACTTGTTGAAAAAAGAAAAAAAAATTGAAATATCACTGATGTGTATTTTTGTTGCATAGAAAAATTCCATTAAAAAAAAGTTTGATATATTAATATCTGAGGTCATTTTGTAGGTTATATTTAAAATTTAAAATTTGAGATTAATATTTAAAAAAATTATTTTTAATACATCACATCAATACAAAAATATATTTTTAAAATTACTAGAAGAAGAATTATTCTCAAAATAAATAAAAACCTAAGTAAAAAATATCTTAATTATAAATATGAAGAAATTAAATTTTAAATTATGTAATAAAAATTACTTAAGAGACATGATCGATCTAATGATCTATTCATCTCTCACTAGTCACTTAATTGCATGTTTCATGCTTTGCCGACACTCTAACTTAGTTAAGATTAAAATGTAATGAATCTGCTAAATTCTAACAGCCTAACAAGGTGGTGGGTAACGTCAACCCCACGTGGCCGCATAAAAATTGATTTACTTTTCAAGTACAGTTAAGGGGCTGATGTTTAATGCTCAATTGATTTCCAACCATATTCAATACTTTATTATTAGTGTTGTTTATTTAACTTATTCTTTTAGCAATAGGTTGAGAGGGGTGTTAAATATATATTTTATATATTAACTTATATATATATATATATAAATTTGCATTAATTTTAACAGTTATGTTAATACTTTTTATTAAATAATTGATAAAATTAATATCATATTTTATTTTTATTCTATATATTAATAATAATAAATTACAATAAATATACTTTTAAATTGTACTCTAAAAACACAAGTTTAAAAAGCCCTTATTATTATAAAGTTGTCCTTAATTCTGCACCCTGAAATTTCCCAAAATTATGGAGAGAAACAAAGAGAGAAAAGTTCCTTCTAGTGCAAATTATCAAAAATTGTTAGTTAGAACAAGCATAGCTCTTCAATATGAATGTGGCCTAAATATCCAAGA